GCAAATGGCTTGCTGCTGCAGCGATATCTGCAATGGCATGCGCGTGGGGGGTTGGCTTGCGCTTATCAACCCCCCAATACCATAGGTCGGGGCGGGTCGGGTCAGATTTGAAAATAAGTTGTCCATACCCACCCCAATGTTAAGGCAGGCGGGTTGTGTCTGACCCAAGCAAAAACAGCAGTTGGGGCAGTAGAAGGTGAAAGAATTTGGAAAACTGAAGGACATTTTATTTCTTATAAGTTAAGTTATCTGTTTGATAAATACAAGATATTTAATAAAGAAATAAAAGAAAAACATTTTTCTTTACCTGAAGGCAGAATGATTCTATACTAAAGGTAATAGATAAAGCTTCGAGGTAAAGAGAATAATGATAATAATTCTTCTTTTTTTTTATTTTTGAAAATAAAGAAAAAGATAATGCTAAAAAGATAATACAATACATTAATTAGTATTGTTAATATTTCTTTTTTTTTCTTTATCGGTGATGGAGAATTAAGATAAGACATTACTTGATCGGTTAATACAGTCGCCTTTGATCGCGAGCTGTTCTTTTAGCTATTGATTGATGAGGAATCTATTTATGACAACATTTTAATGTTTTATCTTAGTAACCATCAATTGATTCTCTTTCGCTATTTGCGAAAGGCTAATAGTATTTTAACTCACCGAGTATCGATGAAGAAATACAATTTGCCAGCTTGGTTGTGTAGGTGTTAACGATTTGATAGTTAGAATGACGAACGGATGATCTGGGACAAAGAAGTTGCAATCGATAAGGATTCGCTTCTTCTTGACCATTCATCATGATCATTGAAACTCACTTAGAGTTCAATGACACGTTCTTGTCATTAACTGAATTCATGTCGTCATTGACGTCATGATTCAAATCGCAAGCCTTGCGCTTGGCATTTTCTTGCTCATCATGCGAGCAGCTATCATCTATACATGATCAGTAAAGTTTCATTTTCTAGATAAGTTGATAACTTTAAGTAACCAACTTACCCGCGACTCTCCTTTTACAAGGGCTTACGCACGAGGCGTGATTCCAACAGAAGGCTGATCTTGTGATATCTTGACATCTGATTCGGAATCTGATTCGGAATCGGAATTTCTGCTGTATCGACTGCTGGTAGTGGTAGCTGCCTTGGATGTACTTGATGCAATGGTGGCTGGATTTCCTGAATGAGGTTGCTTTCTTCCTCTAGGCATCTTGAAGGATGGCTGTTGGTGTCAGATCAGACGATTGGTGGAGGTGGAGGAACTGGAAGAGGATATCCACTGATCCAGGAACCAGAGAGTGAGACTACTGGGATATCAGATATCCTCATACCGCCTGCGGGGGTCTGAGGTCTGGACTCCTGGTAGTACAGTCTACTACTAGTACCATATGGTTGGGTCAATGGGCATAATACGGGCAGACCTGAGCACAAGCTGGGCTGTCCATACCCCCCCCCCCCCGCTGACACGTTGGGTTATTCTCGGGCCGGGTTGCTTTTCACCCAGTACATGTCCATGCCCGCCCCGCTGTAGTGTGCCATTTGTGTTTCAAGTATCAAATTGCATAAATTCACGGTCCAGTATGTAAAAGGGCATATATTCTTAGCACATTATGGCATAATCACATTCTATGGGTCATTTAACCCATAGTCACTCACTGGAACCACTAGGCTAGCTCCACTCAGTCAAACGTTATTTGGGATTTAAATTTCATTTGCATAAAAAATGATTATTGCATAGTGTAACCACAAGTTGGCCACATTGTTTGTAGGTACACTGAGAATCTTGTATAGTAGCAAAACCACAATTTGGTCAGATGATTAGATGCATATTCATTATAGGTTAAGGCTAGAACCACAAGTTGACCATTTATAGATTGTTGGTCAGGGCTAGAACCACAAGTCAGCCGGGTTGTAAAATAGACTATTTAAGGAGGGGCTTTCCCTCATTCCAATTTTTGATCATCTCATCATCTCATCATCTCATCTGATCAGCAACCAGACAGAACAGAGCAATCAATCCATACATTAACCAGTGTGATCTTATTCAAGTGCCCCATTGAGATCATTCAGACATTGAGAAGCATAGGAAAAAGAAAGTAACAACCAGTACAACTTGTAATCTTAAACAAGAGACAGTGATCTTAACCCATTGTGCTCTTGACCAAGATTTAAGGAGGAAGGGAAAGACACTTTCAATAGTCATATTTTTCCTCAATATCATCTCATAAATTCACATTCATCATCAGTACATACGTCAATCATTTTTCAAAATACATAAACATATAAACAAAAACACCTCTTACTCAACATTTCCACTCAAATAGTCTGCTGAATCCACGTTGATCTAGGTTTGATAAGATAATGCTACACATAGTTTTCTCTATCATCAGTTTTGCCACAACAATAAATAAATTGTTGTGTTAACTCTAGTGTAGTACAATAGAGGGGCAGGTCTTTCAAACCAGCCGTAACAGTTGTAGTATATCATTACATACGTGATATATCTCATCTGCTATTTCCCCCTCACAGGACTGCCACCATTCCCAAAGGAGTTCTCACATCTGGGTAAACTTGGTGATTTCATTTTTGAACAAATATGTACCACATTGTAATGTTTATGGATTTCGAATACTTTGTTATTTGCAACAAGGAGTAAATTATCTTCAATTAATGTGGAATATAAGGTAATGCATTGGGTAAGGATTATCTTTAACTCAGTTATTTATCATGTGGTGTTGTTGATGATATTTTTATTAAGTAGATGATCTCGTAAATTTGTGAAATCACAAGCAGATTTTTCATTTAGTATTACTATGTAATGGTGGCCTATATGTTTATTCCTTTTGGTGTAAGGATTGATCAGATGGTATTGTTGATGATGTCTTCATCAATATGATCATGCCAATTCATGAAATCTCAAGGTGATATTTTCATTTACCATTACTAATTATCTGTCCTTCTTAAGATTTTGATCATTTCACTGCAAGAAAATTACAGGTAACAGGTATCAGTTAAAATGCAGGATACTCCAGTATCAACTTTGTTGAAACCACTGTTTATCCCAGAGCAATGCCTTCTGCACAGTCACTGTGCATCAAAGTTTGACCAAATTAAGCACTCAGTAAGATTTGAGTTGAAGAACAACAATCAGCAAAGTCTTTGGATGTCAACTGCCAACAGTTTCTTGAGGTTTTCTTGTAGTGTTTTATTTTATTATTTCAGGTTTTCTGTGCACATTGAATTTGGTCTTATCTGTCAACATCTTCTATGTTTCTGGTTAGAGATGTCGCTCGATACCCGGGTACCTGTAGCGGGTGCGGGTACCTGCCTCAAAAATCCAATATTTTTGACACCCGCACCCGCACCCGCACCTGCTAGGGCCACCAGGGCGGGTACCCGGGTACCTGCAGGTACCTGGCACATTTTTGCAGGCAAATATACCCAGAAATCTCACCCTTTAATTTCTGCATGACTTGGTAAATATAAGATTGATATTCACTAGATATATGAGTAGATAAATAAAAATAAAGAAAAACAAATTATTCTATCACCAATTTGAATTTTATCTTCTCTCTGATCTATCTTTAGCTTTACTCTTTTTCTTGGGCCTCATTTGCCTTATTCAATGTCCATTGATGAATACTGTACACCGTCTTTATGAGAGGAATTCCTCCAGTCATCAAGACTGTACACCATCTCAAAGGCCGGAGGGAACCCTCCGGCCTCAACAAAGCAACCAGATTAGTTCAGCAACACATGTAAGACACCAGCTGGTGTCCTACATGGGCTGCTGACACTTTTGTTCAGCCCAACACACCCAAAAGAGGGAGTGTTGGACCACCAATGATAAATTAAATTCTTCAGGGGAAGCATTCCCAGGGCGGGTGTAAGGCAGGTACCCGGGTACCTGCCTTTTTTTACTGCAAATGTTGACACCCGCACCTGTTTTTAACGCAAATGTTGACACCGGCACCCGCACCTGGTACCTGTTTCCGGGTACCTGCTTTGGAAAACAGGTACCCGCAAACGGGTACCGGGTACCTGCAAAGGGGTACCTGCTGACATCTCTATTTCTGGTCTTCATCATAAATAAATCTTTTTGGTGTGGGTTGGTGTTGAGCTTTTTTTTCTTCTTTATCATGCTATTTTTGTTCTCAATCTTTCATCTTTGAAGAAAGAGGTACTATTACAAAGAAAAAAAGTCTGGTAGCAAGGTCCTTATTTGTGAATCATAACATGTACATATGGGATTACACCATAAAATAGACAATTGGGGTTTAATTTGATTTCTAGTTCCCCAAAAACTACTAAAACACTTAAGAAATTTTTGATTATTTGGCCACAATCATCTTGAAACCCCTACAGTCTTGTACAGCAGAATACCAGATGTAACCATAGGAGAGGAGAAAGAGGAAGTGATATGAGATAATAGAGTCAAATGACCAAATATATGGGGAAGAGGCAAAGATTTTTTGCGAGAAAGGAAGGAATTGAGAGGGGGGGGCAGAGAAACAAGGATGTGAACAGAGACAAATGTGGGAGAGAGTATAAAAGCTAAGAGTATTTTGGCAAGGAGAGGGAGAAGTCAGTGCTTAATAATTCCACTATCAGATTGAATTTTATAATCCAGGGATTGAAATAATATTTTGGTTGAGGTAAGCAATAATGGGGGCATGTGGCTGGTGTTTTTCATCCAATTATCTTGAGGTTGATGAGGATGGTTCAGCCAAAAGATTTTTGCAGAATGTGTAACACATCAAATTTCAACAATTATATTTGGGCCAATCAGCCTATGCCCTAGAGTCCTTCCACATCCTTGAGGAAATCAGAAGCATGCATGCAACATTTATACCAAGCCGGGCATCCCAAAATATGAGACATGCTTTAACATGGCCAAATGTCTATGACCCGAAGCACTTTGCAGTGGAATCAAAAATATATATCTGAATGAATAATTTCATTGGATACCCAGGTTCCAGCTTTTGGTGCTGCTGTGCTATCCTTTTAAAACTTAGTGTATTAATTCCTGCCCTCTAGACATCCAAATTTGAAACATTCCTACACAATATTTATTGTTGGAAATTAATTAGGAGTGACTTTCATTTGAAAATAAGGTTTAAAACTGAATCCCAAATCAAGCCATTCAGGCAACATAATTTAGTCCTCCAGTGAGAAAAACACAATTATTATTTTTGAATCCCTGCTTTCCAGCTCATATTCGGAGGATTCCACATTAAACATGGGAATTTCAAAAATTTAGCATTGTGGTGGTACTAGAGAACAGAAATCAAAATGGGCACCTAATCCAAATTTTTCTGGTTGCTTCAGAAGGAATAACACTGGGTCAAACCAATGAAATCACATGCAATTCACTCCTATTGGTTGATGTGGATGGACCTTCCAGAAGAGGTCAAAAAAGGCTTGTGGTTTAAATCTTAGGCTCTTGGTTGAACCAGAAGGAAGCCTCTTAGTATTATTGGCACAGTTTTCAAGATCAGTAACTCATTTCCTTCTAATAGTTTTCCACAAAAATTCTCATAAAAAGATTGGTTATTCTTTCTCATGTCATAGGTCACAATTCCATAAGCCATATCTTTGATTGAGCTGTGAAAAACAGTTTTATCATGAGATGGAGGTATCTTATGATCCAACGGGGGAACAATTGAGAAAGAAAAACCAAGCAGAGATACAGTAATGATACTGTTGTTAGAAGCAAGTTCGCACCATGGGGAAATGGTAACCATATGCAGGTGGCTATCTTGGAAATCTATGTGTAGAAAACATGGTTTGAAAAAAGATAAGAGCATAGACAAAGATGGAACCAATAAAACACCAAACAAAGTTACACAACGGATCATTTGGGTTGGGATTCCCAATTATAAACATAACACTAAGTAAAGCAGGAAGTATTGCTGTAGTGAGAGCCCAGATGTGGCGTTTTTTCTCTTGGAGGTTGGTTTTGGAAGCTATTTCAGAAATTTCACTGGCATGGCAAACTTTTACTATGCCATCCTTCTTAATTTTATCAGCAGTGATGGGTTGAGAACGTAATGAGTTTTGAGGATCGGGAGAATCACTCAATGCGACTTTCTTTTCGCTGGTGCTGGCAACTGGTTCTTCATTGTGAATGTGTCGTTCAGTGATGATAGGGACATTTGATAACAGTTCCGGATGCATCAGTTTGTCCATATCTTCTTGAATAAATTGTGGATAGACTCCTTGGGCTGTGGATTTTCCAGCCGATTCTCCCGCCATAGGTATTGAAAAGGTTGGGATAATCAGACCACAAGTCTAAGCAGAAAGGTTGGGTTAGATTTCTGCTCATTTGTTGCATAAGTCACAGAGAAAAGCATCAATCAAACTCAACTATGATGAGCAATCGTAAGAGCAACATTTCTATCTTTTCCACCGGAGAGCGATGATTAGCGGTCAAGGTAAGATTCTAGATAGAGAAAAATGTTCCAATTAAGAGGAGAAAAAGCCCTAATGAGAGGGTCTTGTTGCATCAGCATTGCTTGCAACATACGTAAGATCTGGCATACACTTCAGGGCAGTATTGATAAATCGCTAACAGGTCAATTTTTATCAGCCTGAGGGTAGGTCTGAAGTGCTCGAGCTAAGCTGCGGGGTGCTTCACTCGCCCTGATTGGTGAAAGCACTATACTGAAGGGAACAATGTACCATGCAATGGAAAGAAAAAACCTCCATCGACGGGGGTCTTGTCCCATTACATTATGCACGTGTTCAAGATGCGGCAAACTCTGCAGAGCAGTAATGACAAATGGCTAACAGGTCAATTCTTATCAGCCTGAGGGTAGGTTTGAAGTACTTGAAGTTGAGCTGAGTAGCGGGGCGCTTCACTCGCCCTGACTATCAAACAGGCGCAGGCTTCTCTCGGATACGGAGTCGGAGATAGACCCTGTGGGGCCCTCTCCGCAGAGAGGCCTGTTCAAGCTGGTAGGAAAGTCCAATGGCAGCATCTGGAGTTGGACTGTCTCGGTCTAAAGACTAGATTTGTTTGACTGATTTTTATTACTTTGGTATAATGCTTCCAGTTCCACCAGTCAGGGCGAGTCAAGCACCCCGCAACTCAGCTCAAGCCCTCAAAACATGCCATCAGGCTGATAAATATTGACCGACCAGCCAGCTGTCAGTACTGCTTTGCAGTGTTTGCCACATCTTTAGTATGTCCACAAGGTGACTAATGGGACAAGACCCTCTGATAAGGACCTTTTCTTTCTCATCACTTGGCACTTTTTTCTCATCACTTGGCACTTTTTTCTCATTCTAGAATCTTACCTTGACCACTGATCATCTCTCGACAGTGGAAAGGACCGAAATGTTGCTCTTACAATGGCTCATCATAGTTGAGTTTGGATGTCTGCTTTCCTCTGTGACTTGCGAAACAAATGAGCAGAAATCTAACCTAACCTCTCTGTTTAGACTTGTGGTTTAATGACCCCGGCCTTCTCACTACCCATGGTGGGCGAATCGGCTGGAAAATCTGCAGCCCAAGGTGTGTTAATCCACAATCTTTGCCAGGAGAAATGGACAAATTGATGCATCCGGAACCGTCATCAGATGTCCCCGCCATTACTGCAGCAAACACTCATACTGAAGAACCGGTTGTCGGCACCAGCGCAAAGAAATTCACATCGAGTGATTCTCCTGATCCTCAAAACTCGTTACGTTCTCAACCCACCAATGCTGATGAAATCAAGGAAAATACCCTAGCACAGGCTTGTCATCCTAACAAAATTACTGACCAAGCCTCCAAAGCCAAGCTTGAAGAGCAGGCACGCTTCTTCGAGGTTTACATGGCAGGAACAATTCCTGCTGTCTGTAGTCTTTTGTTCATGCTTGGGAATCCAGAACCATCCGACAGATTGGGCACCTTTATGTGGTGTTTTTTTACCTTTCTATACGTCTATGTTTTCTCTGCTGGCTCAATCATTTTTTCTACGAGTAAACCCTTGAGATAGTCACCTTTATGAGAACGTAGTTACCGCATCATGAAACTGCATCTATGCACTACTAAAAGCATCACTACCACATCACCGCTGTCCTTTATCTCCGATTTTTTTCTTCTCTGAATCATAACATGTTCGTATCTCATAGCCAGCCGTTTTGTGACTTGATCCATTTGGCTCTTGGGTCAAGATGCTTTGAATTCACGCATCAATCACAGACGAAACATTGTGGTTGTGTTGGTCAAGAGCATTAAACAAATGTTTAAAAACTGGATAGGAGACATGTCCCAAAAAGATGTACTCGAGGCAACTCTGGCAAGTATCATAGAGTTGCGTTTGTGAGAATCATACCAGCACTTATTCAGTTTCATGCTGTATTTTGAGGGATATCTTTGAGTCTGGCAGCTTCATTTGTTCAGTTCAATCACTCGTTTTGTTTGTCCCCCGCGTTAACAAAAGAAAAGACATGAGAAGACTCTTGAGGGTAGTGACTACAGTGACTAATCAAGAATGTTTGAAGCCTGTCTAGGCCATAAGCCGGGCGACGATTCCCGCTGCCAGTAGAGATAGCAAGATGGCCAAGGAAGCCAGAAGAGCATCGAGAGGCAGAATGACCCGCAAGGAACCCAAGGCGGTACAGGCGAGGTCAGGTGGCTGATAGCGGGACATGCGATGCAACTGCCATGTATGCCTAGCGGCAAGATATGAAGTCAACAGTCTGCGATCATTTTCTTTCAATTCACTCAACCTGGCCACTGACCACATTGTCTTGAACCCCGCGCCAACCAATTTGACGGGCACGAGGATCTTCCACAAGGTCACACCAGGCACGGGAGGGTTCGGAGAGACGTAATTGGCCAGGTTGCTGTCGAGGATCTTGGTGGACAGCAAGGGATCCAGACATGCCGGTCGTCCAAGCCCAATCAGATCAGTTTCCTCATTCGAGATCGCCGCGGCCATCCCACTTCGAGAGCGAAAGCCGCCAGTGGTCATCAGGATTGGACAAGGCTGCCGAGATTCTGTAGAGATCGTGCGCAGAACTCGACGAGCCTCTTGAGTAAATTCAACGTAGTACGCCTCCCTTCTGTCCACCCCTTTCTTTTTACTCTTGGGCTGTGGGGTTACTTCCTCCTTCGACGTGGCTTGGGAAACCGTGAACTGATCAGCCTTTTTTATGCAGTTGAATATAGAGAGTTATGCCCTAGACTCGGGTAGAAGCAGAACCTACGACAATTCTCGTAAGTCCCTCCTGAAATTTCAATCAAGTCGATCCCCCCACGAGTGACAATCCTTCTCAGATTATCCTAATGATTCAAATGGTGATGGATGAGATGCCATCTAAGAATTGTTAGATCTTGAGGTATCCAAAAAGTAAATAGGGGTCCAGTTCATTTAATAAGCTCACGAGTGCTTCTTCCTGCGTCAACCCGCCTTCCTACAAAAGTCATACAATCCGGAACATGATCATCAGCATTGAGAACTGAAATTTACGAGGGACGTTCAATCGAAGGCTGGGAAAGTGTGGTCCAACAACCCACCGACAGATCTGAGCAATTAAGTTTGATGGACAAGCAAAACGATTCGGGTACACTAGACCTAATGGCGTCGATGATTTGGAATAAGATCCGCAGTCGATTGGTGGCACTCATTCCATACTCATCGTGCCGTTGGTTGGTCTGCATCAAAAAAAATGGGCGATCAGATCCTAATTGTTTTGGTGAAGCCATCATCAGGTCTGGCTGAGAGAGGCGTGAATAACCTTGGCGCTTAAGAATTCACTCAAGAGAAACCCGTGACTTGCATGGAGAGCAAGAGATTAGATGCAGGGTTCGGTTGATAGGCGAGAGTTGATATTTGGAATCCAAGATCCCACATACCTGCAATGAAGTTGAACACTACAGAGGGAATTTCACTGGTCAACGAGGCTAGGATGATTGCGACGAAAGCGAGACGAGTTACCCTTGAAAGCCGGCTCGGTGGCAGAACAGAGCGCCGGCACGGAACTGTTCGATGATCAGATTGATGTCGTCCTTGGAAGCCTCTCTGGCGTGATCGAAGAGGGCCCAGGCGACCAATCGGTCGATGAGTCGATTGCCAAGACACACCCGCATCGCGCTTGGACCGATCGGCCTATCCCCCAGAGTCCTTCCACATCCTCGAGGCGATTGCAAGCCTGCATGCGACAGTTGTACCAAACACCGCGGCCCACACACTTTTGCCCATGCCTGCCAACTCGTCGGAATCGGATCTTTCTCGGCTCCATGGCGGATTGCGATATCAGTTGGAGTCGCCAGATGGCGAGGACAAACTTGTACGTTTTCTAAAATAGATAGGGGTATCTGAGGTAAGCGACTTGGTTAATGTTTATTCCCAATAGCTTCTTGTTGACCCATCCTATGGGATATCGAGGGAATGTATTAAGGACATACCAGTGATTAATAAACCGAATCGGTCCTGAGACCACTGGTTATACAGCCTGTGGTGTTCCGGGGTCGGCTGGCCTGCTTTGGCAAGACAAGGGGCCATAGCAGCCTGGTATAAGATGAGTTGGGGGAGCATATCGGCAAGCTTTCGTTGACGAGAACAGTCAAAGCTTCTCCCTCTCGTACCTTGACTAATCGGTTGGTCAGCTCCAAACCGCAGGGCAATCGGATCGGCTGCTGGATCACATGGATCTGCTGCTGGTCTGCCGAATCCATCGTTCGAATACAGTCCTTCTGGGTGGGCGATCGGCCGGTCTTTGATTCCTCAATTGTTATTGCAGTGGGTTATCGTCGTCTTCATCGGTGATCGACAATCGGCAGCCGGTGAAGCGCCCTCGGCTCTGTAGGGGGCTGGGGGCGGCCTTGGCAAGGGGGGTGTACGCTTACTTACACCCCCTGTAAAGGCTGACCCCCCGAGTTGTTATTCTTGGGCGCATTGGCCCCGAACCCTAACACAAGCCTCTGCTGAGAGCCCAAAGGGTTAACCCGCACAGAATTTCAAGTTGGAAATTGGAAATCGAATCAGGTGGAAATGGCATTGAGTACATCACCCTTAGTTTCCAGTTTTTTTGGGGCAAACCCAAAGCTGAATTTTGGTTTGTAAATGAATCAATTGAGAATTTGCCCATGTGCTATGGTACAGGCCCTAAATGGAACCAACAACAGATACACACCTGCATTTTTTGAGAAGAGGTCCATAAAGGCCAGGGCATAGCTGGGCCAGGCTGACCCCAAACCAACCTGAGACCCAACAGGTCATGGGTTGGGTTTGGGCGGATCTTGAGAGAAAATCATATGACCAAATCCCATGAACCTGGAAGCTTATCTGGTCAGGTGATTTTTTTATCATGTTTGGCCTACACAGACTATATTAAAATTTGGGTTAGCTCAAGCCCAAATTGCATATTGCCAACCCAAACCCAAGAAGTCCCACAACAGGTTCAGGTACAGGCAGCATATTTTCAAGCCTGACCAAACCCAACAAAAGTGTTGGGTCAGGGACTCAGGTTTGGGAACTGATTATTGTCCCAAACCCAACCAGTTTACACCCTGACATAAAGGTGTACTTCTTGTGCACTCAGGGAGCCCTCTATCACGTGAAAGATCAGGTTTTTGTCACTTGCTCATGAAATCACTGGTCTTCCAAAAATCAAGTTGTAATAGAAGACAAGGGATAGTTCTTCTCCAACACAAAAGCATGATAACAAATAATATAGCAGTAAAGTTACAAACCTATTTAATACTCCCCACCTCACAGGAAAAATAACCAAATAAAATGTGATTGATCAACAGTTGTGGATGGCATAAACTAACCAGTGGTAGAGATGTCGCTCAATACCTGGGTCCCTGTAGCGGGTGCGGGTACCTGCCTCAAAAATCCAATCTTTTTGACACCCGCACCCACACCTGCTAGGGCCGCCAGGGCGGGTACCCGGGTACCTGCAGGTACCTGGCACATTTTTGCAGGCAAATATACCCAGAAATCTCACCCTTGAATTTCTGCATGACTTGGTAAATATAAGATTGATATTCACTAGATATATGAGTAAGAAAAAAATAGAAATAAAGAAATAAAGAAAAACAAATTATTCTATCACCAATTTGAATTTTATCTTCTCTCTGATCTATCTTTAGCTTTACCCTTTTGCTTGGCCTCATTTGCCTTATTCAATTTCCATTGATGCAATACCCCAGGCTTTATTTTCCCATTCTTGGAGTAAAATGACACAGTCTGATGAGTGGCTGAGTCGGTGCCTCCTGAGGGAAACACATTCCCTTCTGAAGCTGAAAGATCACTTGACATCCAATGTTGTTGCTGTGGTGGATTTAAGATAATTGGTACAGAGATACAATAAAAATATATGATAGAAGAAAAACCCACCCGGACAGCTTAAAAAATCAAGGGCCATCTGTAGCAGACCCCCGTGAGTATTCCCAACACACTGTTGTTGCATCCACCATTTGAGGGGATCCACCGGCCGTCCGTCTTCTGTTAAGGTCAAACCTCCAGCAAGTCACAAGTGAATTGGATCCATCGGGGTTGTCCCTCCACAAGCTTCTTTTGCGCCAATCAAATTGCAAGAACTCCTTTCTGAGGCTGTATTCCATTTTGAAAAAAAGTATTAGCTATAATTTTTGACAGAGTAGGATAATGATAAGCAATGCATGTCCCATTTAATCACCTTTGGACAGGTGTTTGATTGTTGTGACAAGGTTGGCTGAGGTGCAGGTGGAGGTTTGTAGTGATTTCCCCACATCTCACAAGTTAGTCTGATTGATTCTTTGATCCATTCTGGTTCCCATTTAGCAAGTTTGAAGTATTCTTCTTTGAAAGAAGGATGGAGAACTGTAGAGTAACCATCAGTTTACTGTGATGTCAGCAGTAATGATGAAACAGAAAAACTTACCCATAGCGACCCAATATAACCGTGAGCAGTCTGTCAGAGTATAGTACTTATTTGTGATATGAAGTCCAGCACGACAAGCATTTCTAATGACAGGGGGGTAATTGTCCTGTTTATTGGAGATGGCAGAAGAAAGATGGCTAGTGATCTGGTCAATGAAGACAACCATGTTGGCAATTTGAGCTGCACCAGCAGTGGAGACCTGGAGGGTGATTTTTTAGAAGGTTTGAAGAAGCTCAACCAGGTCGCGCACTCAGTCAAGATTGTTTTGGTTGATCTGATGATATGGAGCAGGACCGTGACATTTATCCTTCTGCCACTCAAGGCTTAAATTTACAATTAACATATCATATCAGCACTGATCATCTGATGGGTGAGGAGTTGAGTTGGAAACAAAAAACTTACATTGCTGCTGAGCATTGCAGGATACCTGACAATTGTTTGAAAGTTGAATTCGACCATGTGTGAACGTCACGAGTGATATTGTGTGGCCTTGAAAACTCAAGATCACCACAGATCTCTTTGAAAATAGCCTTGGAATTAGCAGACTTGTTTAATTTCCTGGAAATTGCTCGGAACTGATTTTGAAATTTTGTTGACCATTAAAGTCAGTAGGCATTCAAATTTAGAGATGGTTGACGGGTATCCGTTGTGGATACCCGCTATCCGCTGGAGGATACCCGCCAGTGGGTGCGGATGGCCCCTTTTCCGCAAAACACTGGTGGGTATCTGGGTATCCCAAACAATACCTGAGGCTGGAAGGGCAGATGGCCGGTGTGGAAAGTAAGGCACACCCTAGGAGATTTCTTGCACTTCTCCGCTCCGCTACCCGTCCTTACTCCGGTTTGATTCCTGGGGTAACTTGCTTGATGGTCTTATAGGTAGGTAAAATAACTAATCTTTTATTGTTTTTGTTGAGTTTTTTTATTCTTCTCTGCGCATGATGAGAAACTGCAGAGCTGGCACACCAACTAGTTAGGGTTTGAGACCCAATCGCTGTATTTAGAATCTCAAGATACAGACTCCAATCCTTCCTCAACCGACAAAGAAATAGCCCGGATCAACTTCCTCAAGTCAATCCTGCAACCAATAACCATTGATCATTGACAAACCTCCTCAAGCTCATCACAGGAATAATTATTCTAGTAATGTACTTGCCGGAAAATGTTCTTCCCTTGATCCAATCTGAAGTCTGACTTCATTTTCTCTTCTCTTTTTTTCTTGTTTCTAGATTGAGCTTTCTCCTTTTTTCTTCCCTTTCTTATTCTCCGTATCAAATTTGAATACGTCTCCCATATCGTTTGTTCCTTCTTCCTCATCTCATTCTTTTTCTTCTTGCTTCTTTGTGCTTGTTGTTGAAAGAACTAATTTTTCCTCCTTTTCTCATTTTCCATTCTCTCGGCTGTTTAGCTTCTCATTTATCCAAAAGTTCTCTGTCATTTCTTCTCATTCATATCAGCGGTATGCTTTCTTTCTCACTTCTTTATTTAAAACCTTGTTTCTTTTCTGGTTACTGTTTCTAATTCTCATTTTTCTTCTTCAGTTCTGGTTCCAGTTTCATCCGCAATAAAAGTTAAATTCTTTTCAGTTTTCTTTGAACTACTCTAACAATTCTTTAGGCTAATACACGATTCACTCCTAAGTCACTCTGTTATTCTGATATGTTCTGAGTCCTAAGTCCCCCCCTTCTATCCCCCTTCCACTCCAAACTCCAACTCTTGGCAGCTATCCCACACACGAGTTCCCTCCTGCTTCCCACGCTGTCCTCCGCTGTCACTTCCTCGCACTCCACTCGTCACCCCTCCGACACCCGCCAGTCAGTGTACTCCTCCGGCCGCCCTTTGGATAGGTCTCCCACCACCGCTTCCGCCTTTGGTCTGGCCGCTCCAAACCCCGCTTCCGCTCCATTGTAGCCCCTCCGCAGTATACGCTAACCCCAGTCTGCAGTTGGCTGTGAACCCCAAAGTCTGCCAGCACCCGGATTCCCCGCAGCAACCTTTTCGGAACCTTGTGCATTTGGCCCGCTTTTCCCCCGCTTTCCCGCGCCTCGGAAATCTAGACTTTTCCACTCATGCGCCGCCGCTTTCCTCAGCCTGCGCGTGTAGCGTCAGCTCCGCATGCTTTCTGCATCAGCCACAAGCATTTCACATATGCCCAAACAATTTGACCAAAGCTTTGGTTGCAGAGCGCTCTCACCACCACACCGGCTGGAAGGGTTTCCTTCCAGCCAGCGAGGTACATGCACCTCAACGGCTGGAAAGAAATCCTTCGAGTCAACAAGGTACATGTACCTTGATGGATGGAATGAAATCCTTCCAGTTGATGAAGTACATGTACCTTGTAGACCAGAAGGACACCCTTCCAGCTGTCAAGGTACATGCACCTTGACAGCTGGAAGGAAATCCTTCCAGTCGATGAGGTACATGTACCTCCTCGACTGGAAGGACACCCTTCCGGCCGTTAGAGATGGTCGCGGATAATCCGTTGCAGATATCCTTTATCCGCTGGCGGATACCCGCCAGTGGCAACGGATACCCGCCAGCGGGTGCGGATTCGGGTGCGGATGCGCCCTTCCCCCTGAAATCCTGGCGGATATCCGGGTATCCCAAGGGATATCCGCCCATACAGGAGGCCTTGGGAGGGCCACAGGCTGTGAGAAACAAAAGAAAAAATGGAAAAAAGGAAAAATAAAAGAAAAAATGGGGCCTTAACAAAAAAACATGGTTTTTGCTGCGCGCACTGCGCAGCAGACACATTTTTTAATTAGTTTTGTACTGCTTATTTTTTATTATTTTTTGAAATTTTAAATTTATTTCCTATGTTTTAAAGTGCGTAGAATTTAATGGTAAAAAGCATTTTCCATAAAAATTAATGTTTCTTTTTGAATAATGCAATTAGACACATTTTTTCAATTAATTTTTGACAGATTAATAATTAATTTTCATTATTTTTTGACATTGTAAATTTTTTCCCTTACTTTAAGAGGTGTGAAATTTGATGGTAATGACTATTATGCATAAAACCAAAGATTTTTATTGGATAATGTGTTGGACAGGATTTTTTAATGTTTTTTTAATTAATTTTTGCCAGCTTAATTTCCATCATTTTTTGAAAATTTGAAATTATTTACTACACTTTGAGTAGTGTCAAAGCTTATGGTATCATTTATTTTGACCAGAAATGAAAGCTTCAATCTTAATATATGAGTGTACCCCATTTATTGCATAATTAAATTATACAAATTATGATAATTTGTACCGTATACCAGTTTTATTTGTATGCAAAGTTGATATAACCATCCATTTTCAAAAAATAATGAAATTTAAGCCTGTAAAAATTTACATGATTTAGCTGCAAGAAAAAAAAAATATTGCATAGGTAAAAGGAATTAGATTTTTTCCATATTTTTGGGAGGGTCACAGGCTGTGAGCAACAAAAGGAAAAAAAAAAGAAAAGAAAAGAAAAAATAAATAAAAAAACAAAAACTTAAAACAACTTTGCCAACTGCTCAACAAAAAAAAATTCAAAAGCAAAAAGAAATATGATTTTTCCATTTTCCATATTTTTTGGAGGGTCACAGGCTGCAAGCAGCAAAGGAAAAAAAATGAAAAAATAAAAATAAATTGAAGGCTTGAAGGCCGCAAGACATTCAAAATCAGTGTTTATGCAGCTTTCTGCATCTGAAATTTCCCCAAGAAACTTTCATTTTGCAGCCTGGGGGTCATTTTTGGGGCGGATATCCGCGTGTATCCGCGCGGATACCCGCCAGGGCAAGCGGGTATCCGCCAGAGGATGCGGATGTCTGATTTGGCTGAAAATGTGAGCGGATATCCAAATCCGAACGGATATCCGGATGCGCCGGGCCCATCTCTACCAGCCGTCAAGCATGTACCTTGCCGGCTGGAAGGAAACCCTTCCAGCGCTGGCCCTTTAAAGGGCGGGTATCAGTGGATACCCGCTGCGGCCGACGGATACCTGCCAGCGGGTGCGGATGTGGATGTCCATTTTGCCGTAAAAAGCAGCCGGATATCCTGATGCGGAGCAACCATCTCTATTGATGATTGGTTGAGTTAATGTGGAGTGCAAATAAGATTGATTGATTTCTGGATACCATCAACAGTGGTCCAGTTATGTCAACTGTAATGTTGACACAGCAGAATTCTGTTAAAATCTAGTGCAGCATAGTGTGATTCTGCCTCGTCTGCACTTATTGTGCTACACTGCACATGCAGGGCCCCAAAGTGTGCCTGCTATGCTGTGCTAACACACTGCTTAGTAGCATTTTGGCTCTGTACTAGCCCATAGCACTAAGCACAGTGAAGCATAGCTAATCACTGTTAATACTATTCAATTTATACACAAAAAAACTCACTATGTCAGTGTTTTTTGGGAGTAAAAAAGTGCAGTGTAGTGTAGCGGTCCATTGTTGAAGCCACATAACTGCCTGAAAAGATAGAGTTAAATTTTTATTAGAATTCAAGTCTACATCTTCCTTGACTTGCCCCCTATATGAATCAGGGGAAGATCTGTGTGATAATTAGCACATGAACACAGTCACACGTCCTATCCTCAACCCCCCTTCCCAATTACAAAAAACAAGTTTGATCAGTTGGCAAATGTTTGTACTTCACATCAATAACTTCCACAAGCCAGATTCAAAAGAGGCTGTCTTAAAAATGGAATACATACACACATGAAAACAAGATCAAGATCAGGTTTATGGTGAGGACATCTTGCACCCACAAGCTAAGCCAGACACCAAAATCTATTGTTTTTTTGTTTTTTTGTTTTTTGTTTTTTGTTTTTTGTTTTTTGTTTTTTGTTTTTTGTTTTTTTGTTTTTGTTTTTTGTTTTTTGTTTTTTGTTTTTTGTTTTTTGTTTTTTGTTTTTTGTTTTTTGTTTTTTGTTTTTTGTTTTTTGTTTTTTGTTTTTTGTTTTTTGTTATTTTTCTAGTACATAGTTCTTGTCAGAGCATTGAAGTTTGTTTGCAGTTGAGCTGGAAGTTCTAGAACTCAGCCTAAACTTCTCAGCCTAAACCTTTCCTCTCGACTTCTCCGATCACACCAACAAGAGAAACCAACTACAAACCAACTACAAACCAACTACATTGAAACCAACATCAAACGAACAACAAGAACAGAACAGAACAGAACAAACAAAACAAAAAACGAACACGACAGAGACAGAGACAGAGACAACGACTCAGAGCCAACATGTCAAACTGGATACCCCAGCCAGATGGACTAGCACAACTACTCACCTGTCTAAGGAACTCAGACTCAGCTGACACGACCATCCAACAATCAGTAACAAAGGTAAACAACACAACCTCACTCACACAAACAAAAAAACAAACACCATACTGACCACCACACCCTTTCAACCAACAGCATCTAGACTCATTCAATGAAGTACCCGATTACAACTCATATCTGGCCTACATCCTCTCCAGTATGCCCCAGGAGGACGCTCGAGTACGATCGGTAGCAGGACTCATACTCAAAAACAACCTCCGTCGACTGCCCTACCCAAACCCAATCCTACTCCAAGATCCCACTCGAACCAACACCACCACCAGCAACCAGAACAGCAGCAACCCTCCTTCACTCAGCGGATCACAACAGACACTCGAATATGTAAAGTCCTCCGTCCTCAGCTCAGGATTACTATCAGACCCCGTCCCCATGCTCAGGGCTACTGCCGGCACACTCATCTCGACCATCGTCATGCAATTCGGCCCCGAATCATGGCCACAAGCCCTACAAACCCTGATCGAACTAACCGAGGCAAACGAGCCATTGGGCAAGGAGGGAGCCTTCTCCACCCTCTCTAAGATCTGCGAGGACGTCCCCAGGAAGCTGGAACACATGCAAATCAACGGCACCCGAGTCTTGGACATCATGATCCCCAGACTGATCAACCATCTCAAGAACCCCTCCGACTCAAGGATCCGCGCCTATGCCCTCATCTGTCTCAACCCGTTCATCCAAACAGGTGGCGACGGGAGTCTGACGGACAACCTACAATCATACGTCGAGGCGCTGTTCCTGTCTGCGAGCGACCGATCGCCAGAGGTCCGGAAGAACGTCTGCTCGGCCCTGGTCAGTCTCCTGAGCTCGAACCCGGACGTGCTCATCCCGAACCTCTCCCAGACGGTCGACTTCATGCTCTACTCGACTCAGGAGACCGACGAAGGCGTGGCCCTAGAAGCCTGCGAGTTCTGGTTAGCGTTCGGCGAGGACATCCGGCTGAAGAACTATCTGGCCGGATACCTCGAGAAGATCGTCCCGGTCCTTCTCAAGGGGATGATCTACTCGGAAGAGGACCTGCTGATCCTCGACAATGACGAGGAGGACGAGGCCGTGCCGGACCGACAACAGGACATCAAGCCCCGCTTCTATGGGGCCAAGGATGCCCGCACCCACACCGACGACTCCGCCGCCGCCTCTCCTTCCACAACCCACCCAGCCTCAAATATCGATCCCAATCAGTCCGACGATCGGCAGAACGGCGCCGCAACCGGTGAGGACGACAACGAGGAGAGCGAGCTCGACGAGGACGGCGACTCGGATGAAGACGATATCTATGCCGAATGGAACCTTAGGAAATGTAGCGCAGCCGCCCTCGACGTCATCGCGGTTAACTTTGAAAATAGTCTCCTGGAATATCTCTTACCGATCTTGAAAGAATACCTCTTTCAACCCAAGTGGGAACACAAAGAAGCTGCCATCCTAGCATTAGGAGCCATAGCCGAAGGTATATTCTCGATCTCTTCCTTCCTCACATCTAATCCTATATTAACATGATCATGTTTTCAAAAAAAAAAAAAAGGTTGTTTGACTGGTATGGAGCCGCATCTTTCGACCTTGATTCCAATCCTGTTGGACTGTTTGAAGGATCGGAAAGCGTTGGTTAGGTCGATCACTTGCTGGACTTTGGGCCGATATTCTAGCTGGATAATCTCACCTGGATCGACAACTGCCGAACATAAACAGGCCGTTTTCTTGCCAGTCATGGAAGGCGTGAGTGAAACAAAAAGAAATACGGATTCCAATTAATGTCTTTCTTGAGCGT